CAGCACCAGCTGCAAGAGAAGTCCTGCCTCACCCCAGCATCATGCCTCCACTAAAACTTGGGCCCAGTCACTTCATCACAGTGCAAGCAGGACAAAGCAAGCTGCTCCCCCTCCTAAGCCTTCCAAACCCAAATCGTTCTCCTGAAACTCAAACCCACCAAGTCCTTCAACAGGTTTCATCTCATCCTGGTCATCTGATGCCCTGGACGGAGAAACAAAGTGTATTCTTGTCTCCTACAGACGCCCCCTTCCCCAATACTCTTCCCAGATATAATCCTTTACCAAACAGCAGAGTCCAGTTGTCACATCCCAACTCACCAAGCCTGAACTTCGAAAAAGTAAAAGCAAAAACTTCAGAACATCGTGAAGGATATCAGGGGTTGGATTTTAATTCACTTGGCAGGATTAATGAAGTTCCAGTTGTTCAACAGTTTGGAAGCTCAAGTCAAACTCCTACACTTCAGGGTTTAAACAGTTTAAAGGACAATGTCTGGCACTCTCCCCTGACATGGGGCCCATCCACTTCTGGCCAACATGAATTTGTCAAGCAAAATCCAGACCATTTCACAGTCAAACCTTCTCTTGCCATGCCAGACCTGAGCCAGCTACATAAGACCGACCCAACTCTTAGCCATTACAGACCCTCAGTGGGTAAGATGGAAGTGGCCAACATGGGAGGAAGGCCTGTCAACCTGCCTCAAAGTCAGTATGAGGCCTCCCAAACGCATCAGCTTCACCCAGTCCTCCAAACACAGGGCCACGTCAGGTATAAACTACACCTGCCCAGCAAAGACAAGAAATACAATCCTGCTGATACTAAATATGCCACATCTAAAAATACAGTCCCTGATTCGTCTGGACAGCCACAGGTGTTTGTCAGCAGCAAACTGACGTCCACTGCAACCAGCCAAGTTGACCAAAACCTGGAGAAAACTGGGTCTATTGAAAGGAGGAATGTTCAATCTGCGGTGCAGAACATAAGAGTAAAGCCTTTAAGCAAGTTTGTGTCTTCTGGTCCTCATCTTAATCAGAAACCTGTTGTCCAACAGGCAAACTCACAAAGCTCTATGCCAACCAGTTACACCATCAATACCAAAGCTGTCGGCAGTAGTGGGAACCCCTGGACATCCCAACAACTTCCTGAGCGCAGAGGTTCAAACACAAGACAAGACGTTCTTGTGCGGACAGGTTTATTAACGCCACCACAGAATCAAAATCATTTTCACAGCGTCCAGGCCAAATGGGATCCGTCTGATCCACCCTCAAATCATCAAGAACACAAGCAAAAACTGGTCCATATGTCCTCAAACCATCAGGGACACCAGCCGAAACTGGTTCCTTCTCCATCGTGCCAGCAGGGATACAAGCAAAAACTGGTCCATCCAGGCCAGAGCCAGCAGGGACATGAGCATGTCCAGTCAGCCACTGAGACAAGAAACAGAGGACAGGAATCTGCTTCATTTTGGACAAATATATTTCCACCAGCAGGTAGGAACAGTAACTTGCACCAATTATCAATTCGAAATTGCACAAATGTTTTTTTGTTTTTTTTCTTCCTCAACAGTTTGACTTTTTTTTTCTCCCACCCATCCTGACCATCAGGAGCATCTCACATTAGAGTGAGACCTGCTTCTGGTCTTTCAGGAAGACTCCAGACTAGTGACCCGTCCAGATTGCAGAACTACCAGATCCCAGACTCTGCGGCTAGAGGAGAAACCAGCAGCACCTCCTACCACAGTTTCACACCACAGAACATCAGAGAATATCAAAAAACTAAACCCAGCACACTGAATATCGGGGGCCGAAATCCATCTGCAGGAGGAGCTGGGTTTACTGGTCCACACACTGGTCCTAATGGTTCTATTGATTTGGATTCTGGCCTGCAGATCCAGAGCAGGTTGGGCTGCAGTGGTGTGTCCAGTCAGAATGAAGCCAGCATTCACCAAGGCATCAACCGAGGTACCAACACAACCAGCACTCACACCAGATCCTCATACATGACATTGTAAAAACTCCAGTCCAGAAACACAAGGACAGAGTTCACATGGCCCCTTTCTTCCTCTGTTCACTACCAGGTGTTAAACAGAGGAAGGCACTGGTGATTAAAAAAAACCCAAACAAAAAGAAATTGACACCAGCTTCAAACTTAAATTGGTTTTCACAAGATTTAAAACTGCCTGACTGTATAAAATGATTTTTCGGCAGAGCACACTGCTCTCACTGCTGAACAGGAAACTCTACATGACTGAGTTAATGTGAAAAGAGCATTTTATCACCGTCTGATGCTACAGTGAGGATTTTAAAAACTAAAACCCTGCATATGAGAGTTGTACCACTGAAGTAGTAAATTATGCAAAAGTTGCTCAGATTCATGGCAATAACTCTTTAATTTACCTTTTACTATTAGTGCTGACTGAATACCTGAACTCTGAGAAATACAAGCATGTTTCTTTTAAAGCTTTTTTCCCCCCATTGAACAACATATCAAAGTTGTCAGACATTATAAACACCATAAATGTTTAAACAGAAGACACTGTTCAAGAACTATGACTGAAACAGAAGAGACGACTTAAATCTGAAACACTAAAAACACTAATCTGCCATAATGATGGTAAGTGATAGTTCTTATCGATGTTAAAATGTGCTCTTATCTCCAAAATAAAGATTATCAAATTACAGTAATCAGTGATTGAGTTTTGGACAGATGAATGAACAAAAAGAAGAAAAACAGACAAGGTGAGTTTTAAGCCAGCTAATCTAAAGGCACTGAACTGATTTTGAACAGCAACCGGCTGCAGTTAGAACAAAGTTCTTTTTTTTATAAATGCAAAAGAGCTGGAACAATTTTTTCCCCCGGGCTAATTAACGGTTAAACAGATTGAGGGTATTTCCTCTGTGATATTGTTTCTATTATGATCAGCTTTTATCGCCAATCACTAATGTGCTGGTGAACTCTGGGTGTTCCTGCACTGGTTCTACAGAGCAGCTGTACTGATGTTTGTTGTTTTTGTCCTTTCAGGTAAACAGGTCAGCTGATGAAGGACAAACACTATCTGCCAACCCTGACTCAATAAAGTTCCTTTACATTCAGCTGTTTGAAGCTCTGTTACTGCTCAGTGTGGCCCCAGAAGTGCGATTCATCATTAGTTTCATTTTATTACTATGCCGTCATAAGCAGATAGGTTTGTCAAGTTTTAAGCCTGTGAATGGGGCTTCATTTGTATTTTGTCTTGAAAGCTAAGCAACATTTTAATTAAAACTACTGGTAGTGGTCCGCAGTGCACACTGTACTGCACACATTTCATTCAGAAATACAGATATTTAGGTTTTCACTGGATCTACACACACACACACACACACACACACATATATATATATATATAACACTGGAACACACACTGAGTTCACCCTGACAGAGTTGTGGAAATATTTCTCTTACCATCAGCAGAGACAAACTGCCCCACAGCAGATGAAACGCCTCCACTTCCCTCCACAAACTGGACCTCAGAGACGATGATGTTGTCTTCAAGAACCGATCCGCAACCAGTACACACTGCACTGCCTCGGGCCTGGTCCACATCAATATCGGACCCTCCACAGGTCCTGCACACCCGGGAGCTCATGGTGGAGGGTAGGGGGTCACTATCACCTGAGAAGAAGGTGGGGTCATCAGGGTTAAACATCCTGAACTGATTGTTCTTGTTCAACTTATCAGAGCAGTTTGTTGAATGTAATGACTGCTCCTGAAGAGCTCGGGGAAGTTTTGATGAACAGGATCTCATCAGACATGTTCATTCAGAGCTGTCTCAAATGGCTTCTTTGATGAAAAATGGAGTTGTGGACTTCAAAGTGCCCATTTGTGGCCCTATCTGACATGCCAGCATTCAGATTTCATACCTTTTCTCTAAGTCAGCAAAGAAGACCATTTACATGCTATGTTTTTAAGTCTAATTGCAGGGCTCATGTGAACCTGACATTAATACATAGTCTCTCTGGTCAACAGGCGATAACAGGGATGCAAACAAAATGTGTGTGGACTTTCAGTCAGTCAGATCTTGTTGATCCTAAGGGCCACAGCAGAAGACAACTTCACTTCTCTTTTGAGTTCTTGAAGACGCTGAAACGTCCCGACTTTCCTTATTGGTTCTTGAACGTCTTCAAACAAAAAAAAGGTGCAGTTGAGTGTTACTAAACCGACTGAATACGGCAGTTTAGGAAATCATAGGAGTGAAACAAATCCAGACAAACTTCTACAATATGACACTTGAAACTAAGTCACGCAACACAGTGCGGCGTAACACTGGGGACTCGAACCGGGGATGCCACAATTGAAAGGGGGACCATCTACCCGTTTAGCCAACACTCATGACGGCTACCCGATGTTAACTAGTCCTACTGCTCTGACTAATCTCAGGTTAACTGGTCTACTTACCAAACACAGATGCCAATCACAAGAACCAGTCCGTAGAAAACAATAGAATCCAGGTCGATGGTCATAAAGTGTTTAACAAGCCTTTAAGTTTCCAGCTTTAGCTTTGCCGGAGAATCCATTTATTCCTGCGTCAAAGAACTAAAAACAATCGCAGTTCGACTTGTTTATCGTTATTTATCAGTTATTGATCACAGACGAATTTATTATCAATGTTTTGGGTGGTTTGTTTTCCTCCAGTGGCGCGCTGAATTTGCGTCATGGAGGCGGAGCTCGCGCGGGTAGTTTGTCGATGACAGACAGAGGAATTAAACTGTCGACATAGAAAACGTAAATATTTGCACGTTTTAACCCGCATTGTTTTATATAAAATAAAGTAATCACATAACAACATGATAAAACAGACTCTGTTTTAGATATAAACCGGGAGCGGTCATCCCGGCAGACTGTGCTGAATGGTTTCAACCGGCGCTGCGTGATGACGTTCGTGTTCGCGCGGGTGTTTTTCGAAGCTGCTCTGGCAGAAAGAACCGACCAGCAAACAACCAAACTGGTTTGTTTGGGTGTACCAGCCGAGTGTGTGGTTTTATTGTGATCTCCTGCAGCAGCAGGTATTATGTCCTCAGCGGGGAGATGAACTGGGATCAACTGGAGCTCAGTCCGAGGATCACAGCCGCCGTGAGGAGAGGTGACAGCCGCTGCACCAAACTCCGCTCAGAAAAATGGCATTTTAATATTCTGTCGCTTACTCTAAAAGCTTTGTAAAAACTAAAGCCTAATTGAACATATTATGTTCACACGCGGTCTTTAATAGTAACATCGGCCTATGCTTTATTTAAATATACTTTCTCTAATAAGTACTGTGAATATTAATCTTTTAGGCTTTATCAAACTATAGCATATGATGTCATGTTAAAACGGCTAGATTTTACATAGAGTTTGGTTGGAGGTTTGCCGATCATGTTTTGAACGCTCCACTTTGATATGCAGGTTAAAGGATCTTTCTCAAGTCTTCAGTCAAAAATAAATTGTTGATGGTGTAAACAGACAAATATGATAGTTTACTGGTTTGCTGCCAATAAAATGTGGTCACCCAGTAGAGCTAACTTTAAAATATTCTCTTTCAATATTGTGTTTTAGTAGTAATGGCATATTACATATGAACTTACTGTATATCACTGGATGGTTTTTATTTAATTTTCCTTGTGATTCTCAAGACTTCAAGAACTGATGCCTATAAAACTGTGTGGTCTGAAAGGCAAGGCAACATTAAAATTAGTAGATTTTGTATAAATGTTGGTTAGAGCTCACTCAGCTTATGGTAAACGTCAGTATCTTGTTATGAAGTCTTGAATGTAGTTGTTTTGCTCCTTGCTTGTTTGTTGGTGAAACAAATCACTCCATTTGTTTTCGATTGTAATTGTGTTTGTTTCTTTCTCCAGCTAAACTGAAGTCTGTCAGGGAGGTGTTGTGTTTTTCCAGTCTGGACCTGCAGAGACTCACTGGTCTGTCCCTCTCAGATGTCCAGCAGCTGTTAACCGTCACTGCCAGCGCCTGCAGGAGACGCCCTCCAGTTACAGGTCAGAGAGACACACGATACAGTATGATTTGATATCACGGTGCAATTGCTTGGCATGTATTAACCAACGTGTTCCTGTGTTTTCAGCCCTCCAGCTGCAGCGGGGGGAGTGTCCTGGGATCGAGTCCGGCCTCAGACTCAGTGTGGGCTGTCCTGTGCTGGACCAGCTGCTGAGGGGAGGTCTACCTGTAGGGGGCGTCACAGAGCTGTCAGGAGAAAGTGGAGCAGGGAAGACTCAGCTGGCCCTGCAGCTCTGTCTATCTGTACAGTACCCACCACAGCATGGAGGACTGAGCTCAGGTCAGTGAACGCACCATCACTACTGAGCTCAGGCCAGTAACTAAATCAGTGGAAATTTTGATGAACCAGGTGTAACTGTGTTGCTGCCGTGTTTCCAGGAGCACTGTATATCTGCACTGAGGACTCGTTTCCCATCAAGCGTCTGCAGCAGCTGATCAGAGAACAGTCCAGTCTGCGCTCGGACGTCCCTCCATCTCTGATCAGCAGCCTCCATTTCAGCGACCACATTTACATCGAACACACTGCCGACCTTGTGAGTTTTATTTTCTGGCCTCAGATCAGATCACAAGTGGTAGCGAATATACAGGTTGACTGGTTTGTCTGTCTCCAGGACTCCCTCCAGGTGTGTCTGTCCCGCCGCGCCCCTCTCCTGCTGGCTCAGGGTCTGGTCCGGCTCCTGGTGGTGGACTCGGTGGCGGCTCTGTTTAGGTCTGAGTTTCAGGCTGATGATTGGCTAGAGAGGAATAGACAGATGCTAACCTTCTCCTCCGCACTGCACCACCTGAGCCAGGAGTTCACTACGCCTGTCCTCTGCATCAACCAGGTAACGCACACTTGTCCTCTGACGCCATGGCAGAGCTCCTGGTTTTCAGTGAATTCCCACATATGTACACAGCCGGTACAATGCTGATGATTACAGATCAATAATCAAAACTACCTGATGTTTGTTTGTTTCAGGTCACAGATGTTTTCAACCAGTCGAACAACATTTCGGGGTAATAGTCATGTTTCTTTATTGTCACATGATTGTCATCTCTGCTTGTTTCCTTCCTCCTTTCCTTCCTTCTGTCTTTCATTCTGTTTTCCCTTCCTTCCATTTTTATTTTGTCCTTCCTTACCTTGCTTTCTTACTGACTTTCTTTCACCTTTACTTCTATCCTCCCTTTTTTCTTTCCTTCCTTTCTTCCTCTACATTCTTCCTTACTATCAATCCCTTGCCCTCTATGTTACCTTACTTCGATGTCAGGGTATTAACACCAGTGGGCTATATCTGGTTAATTTAAATAAAATTAAATGTGTTTTATTGAATGACTTTATTGATTTTTCTGACTCATCTAAAGCTGCATTTAATTTAAATAATTTAAATAAATAAAACTGATGTTTTCAATCTGCAGTCTACATATTTTTCATCATTTGAGATCAGTATGAAAACAGTGTTTAACAAATTGTGTGCATTTGTTATTATTTTGTGATCAGCAGTTTTATATCTGGTTCCTCTCTGTGTCTTTGTGTCTCAGCCCTTCGTCCTCCAGCGTGTCCCCTGCTCTGGGTTTGGCCTGGGCCAATCAGGTGATGGTTCGGCTGATGATGCGGCGTCTCCAGGAGACGGTGGTCACTGGTGACCAGAGCAGCATCCTTCGCAGGTTAGAAGTGGTGTTTGCTCCTCACCTGCCCAGAGATGGACGAGATGCTGCTGTCTGGAGGGAGGGCATCAGAGGAGTCGGGAAGTCTGACTGACTGTAAATACAGAATAAACTTTATTTAGATAATGTCGGCACAACAGTGCGTTCAAATTATTATGTTTTTTATGCTATACAGCCAATTATATATGGAAATTTTAATATGCTTTCTCATTCACAAAGCGCCTCTCAGGGTTAAATTGGAAGTTTTCCAGTAGAACTTTGGACTTGGCTTTTTTTGTTTTATGCACTTTTTACCAAGTGACTGTATGTCCAGAAATATTTGGACAGCAGTAATATTTACTTCACTTTGTCCGCTGATGAGGTGTTTATACTCAGAATGCAGTGTAATAACTCTATTTCAACTTCCCACATAGTGAAACAGCAGCTCAGCTCATGTTGGGTTTTTCCTGAGCTGCAAACCACACCTCACTGACTCCGTCAGCTGTTCAAACTATTATTGATTATTGTCAAATTATTTTGGTTTGTCATGATTAAAAATACCGTAATTTTTGAAATCAGATTAAATGGGTTTTTTTTTGCGATTAATTTTCTCTTAATGTAGAAACAGTATGTTGATCTGTACTGTCTGTACCCCAGCCACATCTTCATATATAACACAACAGACAACTCCATGATGTTTCTGACAGTGCGCATGCGCGGTTCCACTGTTGTAAAGCGGGACAACATCGGACTGCATCAAATGTTTTTGTTTCAATCAAAATAAAAGCGTGAAACTAATCCTGCCTGCAGACAAACATCAGGAATGTGGTTACTGCTTACATTTAATGTTTAAAATAATTTATTTCTCTACCTGTTGGTTCAGTAAACTTAACATATTGATAAGCTGGAGGAGTTTTATTAAAAGCTGAATTGTGGTTTAACTCTATTTCTGTTTACATCTGACTTAGAAAACTTTTACAACACAGATCTGCTTCTTTCTGTTTTCTGTAGAGTTGATACAGTCTGTGATATCTGTCTCATTGCTGTGTTGTTATTCACAGTGTGCTGCTGTTTATTTCCACTCTCTTCTGTATTGCCGTCCTTCAGTGGTTTATTCTGGGACTCATCAAGTCATTGTTCAATCGATCGTCTGACTTAATCAGGCAGCCTGACAGTCTAAATATCTGACAGATCTATAATGAAAGCTGTTGTCTTTGTATTTCTTTCTCCTGTATTTGACTACTTGTCTATGTTTTCAGTGTGGCGATGTAGTTTGAGAGGAACTGATTTATACTGAAACTCTTCTGATACTTGTTTGCATGAGACATCACTTAAAAACATGTGTCTTTAACATAAACAGAGATCACAGATTGCCCTAATTGGTTCCCTTGTAATAATTAAAACTATTGGAGGCTGCATATAAACTGATACACGTGCCTGATAATATTTAATTAAATCAATACTACATATACCTGAATGTGAGTGTTTCTGTAACTTCATGTGTAAGCTGAGCTCCGCTCGAAAGTGGCTGATTTTTACGACATGTTTCGTTGTTGCTGTGTTTTGTACTAGCAAAACACCTTCCTCCTGTTTGTCTTAGGGCCGAAGTATATACAGTGTGTAATCTGGAGGCAGGACCTTTATTTTGAAAATAACGGGACACAGTACAGTTGCTTCCGGTGGTGGTCGGGGGGCGCGAGCTTAACGGTGATGCGCAACGCGTGAAGCTACAGAGCAGAAAGATCGACAATCAAAGTTGGAAGAGCAGCAGAAGGATCTGAAGGTGAGCCTGATGGTGTTTGTTTGTCTGCTTGTTTGTTGTTGTTTACAGCAGCCGGCTGAGAGGCTGCATCATCAGCTGTTGATCAATAAGAAACCTGATCCGGGGGTTACCTCATCAATGCATCAGGTTTTGACTGCAGCTGATCAATATATAATATAACCGATTGATCAGCGTCGACACATATACGTAGACAATCATTTCAATCCAAAGTGTGATTTGGAAATGCAGAAAATAAACAACAACAGATGACGTCATGAGATGCTGCGGGCTCGGCCCTGCAGACCGGATGTGTCCAATCTGAGAGCTGATAATATGAGAATAAAGAACTGCAGGCGCTCGATTTAGTTGTTTTCAGATTGTCACAGTGAATGTTTATACTTCTGTTTATTTATCCCAGTAATGTGTGACCGGTGAGTGAGCAGGGAGCAGTCTGATGATAGCTGTTGTGGAAATTCGACATAAACAAAAGAAAAAAATCAGAGGTGTTTGTTGCAATAAACCAGAAGCATGCCTCCCTAAAACAAGAGCTAAAGATTTAAAGTCACAGTCAGTGTTTGTTTGTTTCATAATCCTCCCAGCAGAGGGAAAAGAGGTGTGGTCGGTCAGACTCAAGCCTCCACACAAAATCAGATGTGTGGAGCTTCAAGAAACAAGATCAGGCCTCCTGTTAAGTCCAAGGCCTCAGGGTCAAGCTGATATAAACAAGAGTCACACACACAGTCAACACATGAGCTAGAAAATATATCATAAAACTGTTACACAGGTTGTCATCAAAACATTGGTTTAATTAAAGATATTCCTGCATCAAGTCATATCTGCTGAAGTGAATATCATTCAGATTTGTTGGGTTTTTTTGTTGGTTAAGAATCGTGATTGTCATTCAGCTGCTGTGCTGAAACAACAGTGTGTGGGAGTGTCAGAGCACAGAGGGAACCGGACCTGAGCTGCTGTGAGGAGTTCTGAGGTCTGTGCTATGAAGCAGGTTTTGCAGTTATCGAGGTAACTTCAGGTTTTAGTTTTGAGGCCTGTGACAGTGGTTCACTTCTTTCTGCGCTACATCACCGTGTAAATAAATGCAGAAGCCCTAACTTGCTCTGGCTTCAGCATTTGTTGAAGATCCGTGGACAGATAGTGAGAGGGTCTCTGAAGAAGGCAAGACTTTTTCAAGACCATGTAAACCTGATCGGCATAGATATGAGAGGTATACAGCTGAAACCATACACTGTATAAAAAGACACATAACCTTTTTTTTTTCCCAACGGCCGAAAAAAAAACAAAACAAACCTTTCCCGGTTTAAGGCAACTAAGAATAACAAAAATATCTATATGCGAAAAACCACAAAAAAAAGAGAGAGATTTTTTTTTTTTTTTTACTTTCTTCAAAGTCAGAAGTTTCCATACATTTCCTTAGCATTTGGTAGCGTTGCCTTTAAACTGTATGACTTGGGTCAAACGTTTTGGGTTTCCTTCCACAAGCTTCTCACAGTAGTTTGATGAATTCTGGTCCATTCGTCCTGACAGAACTGGTGGAACTGAGTCAGGTTTGTTGGCCTCCTTGCTCCAAACTCCTTTTCAGCTCTGCCACATATTTTCTACAGGATTGAGATCAGGGCTTTGTGATGGCCACTCCAAAACATTGACTTTGTTGTTCTTCAGCCTCTTTGTAGCTAATCAGGCGGTATGTTTAGAGTCATTGTCCATTTGAAGACCCATTAGTGCCCAAGCTTTAACTTCCTGGCTGATGTCTTGAGACGTTGCTTCAATATTTCCACATAATGTTCTTTCCTCATGATGCCGTCTATTCTGTGAAGTGCACCAGTCCCTCCTGCAGCTAAACAGCCCCACAGCATGATGCTGCCACCCCCGTGCTTCACAGTTGGGATGGTGTTCTCAGGCTTCAAGCTTCCCCCTTTTTCCTCCAAATGTAACGATGGTCATTATGGCCAAACAGTTCAGTTTTAGTTTCATCAGACCACAGGACATGTCTCCAGATATTAAGGCCATTGTCTCTGTGTGCATTTACAAACTGTAATCTGTCTTTTTTATGTTTCTTCTGGAGTGATGTCTTCTTCCTCTCTGAGTATCCTTTCAGCCCATGTCGGTACAGGACTGGTTTCACTGTGGATAATGACTCTCTCTGTGACCAGCTTCAGCAGCATCTTCACAAGGTCTTTAGCTTTTGTTCTGGGGTTGATACGCACATTTCTCACCAAAACACTTCATCTCTGGGACACAGAACCCGTCTCCTTCCTGAGCCTATGATGGCTGGACATTCCCATGGTGGTTATAGTCGTGTATAATTGTTTGAACAGATGAATGTGGAACCTTCAGGCAAATGGAAATTGTACCCAAGGATGAACCAGACTTGTGGAGGTCCACAATTCCCTTCCTGATATCTCGGCTAATTTCTTTAGATTTTCCATGTTGTCTCAAAAGGAAGCAGAGTGTTTGAGGTGTGACTTAAAATACATCCACAGGTGTGCCTCCAATTAATTCAAATGCTGTCAATTAACCTATCAAAAGCTTCCAAAGCCATGACATCATCATCTGGGCTTTCCCAAATAGTTGGAAGGCATCTTAGTGGATGTAAACTTCTGACTTTAAAGAAAGTGATAAAAAATTCTCAAAAAAATGATCTCTCGTTATTCTGGTGTTTAACAAATAGAAATAATTTCGGTAATCCTAACGGACCTAACACAGGAAAAGTTTAGTCTAATTTAATGTCAGACAGTGAGTAAAACAGGTTATGTATCTTTTTATACAGTATATGTAAACTTCTGGTTTCAACTGTAGATTCTCAGGGGAGGGAACTCCAGTTTTATTTTAGTTTTTTCAGTTTCCAGTAGGCTAGGGTTAGGGTTAGTCAGGTCACTGACTTACCTGTTTGAAGTTGTACATTCATATAGCAGGGGCTACTCCAGAAATGTTTCAAAATGGGCCAAGAGAAAGTCTTTGGGTGGCATACAAAAACCAAAAGCCATGACTGAATTTCAGGAATTCTAATGGGCTGTTGTTTTATAAAGGATTGTGAAAACTATGTCAATATGAGACCCAAGAGATCACACTGACATACCGTTTTTTCCCTCTCATTTTACAGTTAATGTTACTAATTATCTCTCGTGCACAGACTAATACAGGTACAGTTAACATTTTAGGTATTGAACAGAATAGAGCACGATGCTGCTGTGTTTGACAAAACATCCGCTGTTCAGAGGAACAGTCAGGAATGCATCCTAACAAACAGTAATGCCACTGCTGCAATATCTCATATTGGTGTTGTTCAGCATTCTGTTTCTGTCAATACCATCATTTTACAGATGAAATTCTGGCTGCCAGAAGCTGCTGCATATTGTCTTCTTTATTTTTGTCATAAATCCTCCAAATATGACAGAACTGAGCTTCTGTTTGTGTGTCTTCCAGTCGAGGAGACCATGACTCCGTCCATCCCCCTTTCATTGGTCGGACTACTCATCGTCCTGCTGAGTCCGGCCTCCTCTCAGACCATTGACGCCTCAGTGAAGGATCTGTCCAATAAGAATGCAGACTTTGCTGCCAGGTTGTACCGAGCCGTCGCCAGCCGTACCGACGACAACATCTTCCTGTCTCCGCTCACGGTGTCCGCCGGACTGTTGGCGCTGTTAAGTGCTACCAACGGCCCGACCCAGGATCAGCTGCTGCAGGGACTCACGCTGACCGGACTGGACCCGCAGACCATCCCAGGTAGGTCAGATGTTAGAGGTCAGAATTCAGGAGCTGGATATCTGACAGTGTTTGGGTTTTAAACCAGGATCTGCTGTTCTCAGATGTATTTCAGACTCTGATGAACGTCTCGCAGGAGAACGGAAAAGCTTACATGCAGCAGGGCGTGGCTGTCCTTCCCAGCCAGAGTTTCACAGTGTCTTCATCTTACCGGGACCTGGTTCAGACAAAATTTGAGGGGAATACTCAGAGTCTAGCCTACACATCACCGTTTGAAGCTATCGACACCATCAACCGGTGGGTGGAGGAGCAGACTGGAAATCGTGTCAGAGAGCTGGTGTCCACCATAGACCCCCAAACTCAGCTGCTGATCGCCACTGCCACCTCGTTCCAAAGTATGTATCATCTGTAATGTGCCAGAGCGCAGGGTTACCGGACACCTGAGTCTCTTGTGGAACATCACAACTGTTTTTAAAAACTTCCTGCACAAAACCCAACAGATTTCATAACTCACATATCTGATCAGACACAGTATGCACTTGAGTCGTCTCTGTTGTGTCTATAAATAAAGTTTTTCTGTGTTTCAGCCCAGTTCAGGACAACTTTTAATTCATCGACCACCCAGGATGAGCGTTTCGTCGTGGACAAGTATCACATTGTCATGGTCCCCATGATGTTCGGGTCAGATAAGTACTTCCTGGCGTACGACCGCTCGGTGAAAGCCGGTGTGTTGAAGCTGCCGATGGCAGGCGGGGCGGCCATGTTGGTTGTGCTGCCTGATGAAGACGTGGACATCACCAGTGTGGAGGAGGAAGTGACGGGTGAGAAGGTCCGGGGCTGGATCCAACAGCTAAAGAAGACGTGAGAGGCTCTTCTTTTTATTCCTCTTATTTTCTGCAACATTCCCTCTTTCAGTCACCTCCATCTCTTCTTATCTTCTTCCTTCTCTTTTTCCTTCCTTCCTTCCTTCCTTCCTTCCTTCCTTCCTTCCTTCCTTCCTTCCTTCCTTCCTGTCTTCAAGTCCTTCATTCTATTCTTACATCCTTCCTTTTTGAACCTCCTCTCTCTCATCTCTTCTTACCTCGCCTTTTACATCTTTCACTCCTTCCTGCCCTTCTTTAAATTCTCCTTTGTTTTCTTTTTCTTGCTTTGCTCGGTTCTCCAATCTGTATTCTCCCCCTCCTCTTTTCAGTATGCTTTCTTCTTTAACAGCCTTCCTTTCTTCTCTCCACCCTTTATGTCCTTCTTACTTCCTTTCTCTTGTTGTCCTTATCTTTTTTCCTTCCTTCTTTCCTTCCTTCACCCCTTACATCAACATAAATGACAGTGAACTGCGCACCGTTTGACATTCACAGATCATTAATGAAACAACAGGAACATTTCTGCCACACGACATTAAAGCTCTTATTTTATGTTGTAAACAGCAAGTTGGAGGTGCAGTTTCCTCGCTTCAAGCTACAGCAGTCTTACTCTCTGAAGAACGTGCTGCAGACTCTCGACATCACTCAGGTGTTTGAGGACGATGCTGACACCAGCAACATGACCGGAGCTAAAGGACCTAAACTCACACAGGTTAGTAAAGAAGCTCCTGAGCAAACTCTAAAACTTGAAACGAATTAAATTTACCTCTCATAAAATTTAGAAGCAATGAAAATAACCAACCACGTCTGCACAATGCGAGATACCCTCATATGTGTCCCCCAGCAACACTTTCTGAACAAAGGCTCCTACGTGAGGACTCCAGTGAGAGCCTCCACTGGACCAGTTTGCACCAGTGAGTCTTTTAATGGCCACCAAAACAAAAGAAAAGAAAAAAGGTAAACAAACATGTCGAAGGCCATGGGTCAAAACATGAAGTGACAATAAAGAAGGTCCCAGAGGAGTAGCGGAGCGCACCTTTGATGCACAGTTAAGTTTTGTTTTTAAAGATATGTAACCACTTTGCCCACAGTTGCAAGTTTAAGTAGTCAGACCAGCACACTGGCCATGAAAAAGAAAAAAAAAAAAACGGGAAAAGACAAGCAAAATTGCAAGCAAAAAGAGTAATTTCACAATAAAGAACATGGAGTGGGTTAATTAGTGGTGTCCCTGTGAATGCACGACTGCGGTGTGGTGAGAGGTGCAGCAAATCAAATCAAATGAAGCCAAATGTGGCTGCAGCTACAAGCAGGGCAAAAAGAGAAACTATGCTGTGAGTCGGGCCTTTTATAGCCCAAGAGTGCTGGGCCAGAGTGCTCCAGACAGGCAGGACCGCCTACTCAGACTCCAGCACCTCAAAGATCTGTAAAACAAACTACAGAATACCAAATACCCCTAATGTGCCCGTACCAGCTCACTGGGCAGGGCTGTTACAACACTGATTAGTCAAGTACACATTGGTAAAGCTGCCATTTGTGCTGCAGCTTTCTTATGGCTTTCTTGCTGCTACCTACATGTTTTCAAAATCCCAGTCACTGAAGGAAACAACAACAGCAATGTCCCAGCAGCAACGTACACACCGAAAATAGCAAGTTTGATGAGGATTTGGGCTGTACAATGTGGCAGGCCTGCTTGTTTTTTGTTTTTTTTGTGTAGTCGGCCATTTTAGTGACATCCCAGCCTGTAAATTTTCCACCAAAAAAATTCCCCTGTCACTATCATATGGGGACACCTTCACTCCATCCTGAGCTTAGCACTGCCTAAGATGATTGTGATAGCTTTATAGACATACACAGAAACCACAGCATTTCCCCCTAAAGCAGAATGATGTTAAAAGATTTCATTTACTTACTTTAAATGAATCTGCATTTGAAACACAAAACATTGTTGATGCAAAGGAGCCGCAGCTCTGTCATTTTAAAAGTCAATAGAACTTCCTTTTGTTTTAAATGTTATCTTGTATGACAAATGCTTTAATTAGGGTCCGAGCACTCCGGTGCAAGGACCCTATTGAAACCCTTGTGATTCTTCTTCTTATTATTATAGTTCAGCCGAATCAAACGCGTTTTTGAGGGCCTAAACGTACTCGAAAAGTCACCAAAATTGCCACGCACATCGGGACTGGCGGAAATCGGAAACTATCAGAGACGTGGACATGTCACGGCAAAAATGGCTCCACAGCGCCACCTTGAAAATTTCAATGGAGTCCTGTCGGAAGCATGTTTGCCCTAGAGCTACGCAATTTCATAGGCATATAGAGCTGGTCGGCACGAACAAAAAAACTCTCCCTGCTCCAAGCTGTAAAATGCAACACGGCTCAACTGCGCCCCCTACAATATTTCAACAGGGTCCCATCGAGGCTACGTTTCACCTTGTGAGCATGCCGGACAATTATTCGTCAAAATCGAACTCCTCCTAGGGGGTTCGTTGTACAAACCTGAAATTTGGCAGTCACAAACTACATGACGTGGTGACTACAAGTTCTTCAAATGCTCCGCAGATGAGACCCGGTTTGGAAATGGTGGCCCGTCCAATTTCGATCAATGGCCATTTTGTCCATTTTCGCAGTGTTTTTACATTCAACTGACTGTTGTCCGATGGCCGGTTCACCTACAGCTACAAGATTCGTTGGGCATGTGTAGCAGGTCAGGACGCACAAAAAAGTCAATCAGCACCAAGCCCTAAACCCAACAGGAAGTACGTTATTTTGAAAAAACACAGTGACAATTTTGCAGATTCTTATGAGACGTGCTGTGTCTATGCTCCAATCGGCCTGAAATTTTACACGCGTGCTCC